CTTCAATACATACTATTACCATTTTTTTGTAATCCATCTTGTACGGATCATCTGGAGAAACTAGGTCTTGAAGCTGTTCATGTAGTTTTGATGGAAGCACTGCAATTAATGTGCAAAGCTTTATTTTATCGTCAGAAATTTCCTTCAAGAAAATAAAGTTTTCAAATCTTTTAATGAAGTTTGTAAATGATTCTCCTTCATCGAACGGAACAAAAGCAATATTTGATGTAACAGAAGGGTGTGAACCTACTGAAGGCTGATTTGTAACTGTGGTTGGGTATTGCAGTTTGTTTCTTAACACCACTTCGGTTGTAATGTACAGCTCTTCAATTTCACTTCTACTAGTTGCTAATTGCTCTATATCTTCTTCATCAACTAAAGATTTGAGTTAAGATTGAGCATTTTCGAATCTGTTCCAATATGTCCGTAATGAAGACAACCGCACTGTGACTTCATCAGTACTCGTCTTCTCTCACTGTTTTATTTTGTACAATTGCATTGTAAGCTTCGCTAATTTGAATATTGCTTGCAGTTAATACCTTTTTAAGCTTAAGTACTTCACTCATCCTCGTTGCCAATATTGTGTCTAAATTCAATAAACTTTAAACGTTTGAGAAATATATTTGAACATTGTAAAAATTACAAACACTAAAACAAAACATTAAATTGTACAACTGACTCACAAAGAAAAACAATAAATAATTAACCATCCAGCTGGTATTAAAACATAGGAAAATAGAATATTGTTAGTTGACACTGGATTGAATATACAGTGTGTAAATTAAGTATGGAAACAAATCTGTATTTTTTAAACCAAAATAGATAGAAATATTGGGTTTGTGGCATTGACTGTTAACCAAGGTTCCGCAATTTTTTGCATCAGAAAAAATTTTTCACCCCCTCAGGGGGGGTAGGGGTAGGGGGTAACTTAATTTTTTTAAATAGCAACCCCTATTGAGTGACCTCTCATTTTGAAGGGTTTGTCAAAAGAAATACAATGCCGTAAACCCGAGGTCGATATCTTACCCCTAACCAGAATGGCGGCCATTTTAAATTTCGAGATGGGCAAACGAAATCTAGTGTGGATACCCATAATTTACCTTTTAAATGGGTTACATTGGGTAAGCCGAACTCCAGATACCATTATTAGATTGAAAAGTGGATGTTTTTATCGTATTCAAAATTTTGCCCCAGCCCCCAAAATAGGGGATTTTGGGGGCAGCCCCAAATTTTTAAACGCAACCCCCTATTGAGTGACCCCTCGTTTTGAAGGGTTTGTCAAGACAAAAGCAGTGGCACAAATCTTAGGTCGATATGTCATCCCTAGACGAAATGGCAGGCATTCAACATTTTTAATTGGTGAAATGGGCGCTTTTTTACCCAATCAAGTTTTTGAATGCCTGCCATTTCGTCTAGGGATGACATATCGACCTAAGATTTGTGCCACTGCTTTTGTCTTGACAAACCCTTCAAAACGTGGGGTCACTCAATAGGGGGTTGCGTTTAAAAATTTGGGGCTGCCCCCAAAATCCCCTATTTTGGGGGCTGGGGCAAAATTTTGAATACGATAAAAACATCCACTTTTCAATCTAATAATGGTATCTGGAGTTCGGCTTACCCAATGTAACCCATTTAAAAGGTAAATTATGGGTATCCACACTAGATTTCGTTTGCCCATCTCGAAATTTAAAATGGCCGCCATTCTGGTTAGGGGTAAGATATCGACCTCGGGTTTACGGCATTGTATTTCTTTTGACAAACCCTTCAAAATGAGAGGTCACTCAATAGGGGTTGCTATTTAAAAAAATTAAGTTACCCCCTACCCCTACCCCCCCTGAGGGGGTGAAAAATTTTTTCTGATGCAAAAAATTGCGGAACCTTGGTTAACAGTCAATGCCACAAACCCAATATTTCTATCTATTTTGGTTTAAAAAATACAGATTTGTTTCCATACTTAATTTACACACTGTATATCAATTATTATCAATGTATTAATATCATAATGTACATTGAGAAACACACCACTAAATGGTAATTGTGAGGACAACATTATTCAAAATACATTTTTCTTGTCCAAAACACTATTGTTAGTAAGTTGTTAAAATTTAAAATTATCAAAACTAAAATTTAGGCCTACTATATTTACAAAAGGATTTGTCTGGATTAAATGTTGACTACTTGGGCATTTCTACACTTAAAGTATTTCTGAATTTCATTTTTAAAGAGGATTAACTACCAGTACCGTACTCAATTAAGTTAGCTCTTTACAACCCTGGATTGAAACAATTTATTTGTATTATTGCTCCTTTCCACTACTTTTTAAACATTAGCTACTTCATAAAACAATTTTTTATCAGGGACGTATTTAAGTACCTTCCGCCTCTAGGCAACAAAGTTCCCCCCCCCCACCCACTTTTCAGCGCACTCCCCGACCTCACTAATATCAGCCCAATGACCAATACATGCCCTGTCAGTTGATTTTGTACGGCGTGAATCGGCAGACAAAATCGTCTGTATATAAGGAAGGGCTCTTATAACGCTTTTCATTGAACACTTAGTCAGGACCACTTGAGAGAAATGCTATTGGCTTTGAAATTAAACAAATATGTTTACTTATAGAACTGTTTTATTTACAAAACATTGCATGAATCAAAAAGAAAAAAAGTATGTCATTTTATTTAAAAGAATAATATACAATTTTAAATGAGTTGAGTAAGTATTTTGTTCACACTTTCCTTCTTTAACTTTTCAACCTTTCAGCTAGCGCTGCCGCTGCGTAGTGGCGTATGAAGTAAACAGGGGGAAGTGTTTTCTTTGTTCGCCACTACGCTCCTGTGGCGCGTGTGTCCGCCAGACCGATTAATAGAGCAGCATGGATAACTCAGCACAGCGGTTTAATAAACTTGACTTTTGTTTGACTTTAATGCATTCTGAAATAATTTTATACTTAATTAAAATATTTCAAATAACTCTTTTGCCGTTCCCAGAATTATTTGCTAATCGTTTTTTTTTTTAGATTAAAACCTTCCTTTTTTATTTTTTAACCCCCAAAATTTTGCTGCCCTAAAATTTGCCGCCCTAAGGTTTTAGGGTGCCTTGTCCGCCTGTTCGGAAATATGTGCCTGTTTGTTACAACTCAGCCAAAAATTTTAAGATGAATAAATATGTCATAAAAAATGTTCCTTTTCCTTTCGATTTCAGTGAAAGTGCGGAAGTTTTTGGTTCCAGTACTAATAATGGGTGGTCCATAATAACCGCTAACATTTTGTTTTCTGACAGTTCAGCTAATTCATGGGTTGGAGAGGATTTTTGCATTGAATGGTTCCTTAATTTATAGCATTTTTTGTAATCATACGTTGTTCAAACTATTCATTTTTTCTAATGGAGGGGGTATAAAAAAATAAATAATGTGTAAAATCTTTGCAATGTTTTTTTTTCTTGTGGGTGTGTGGTAATAAATAAAACAACACTATTCGTGTAACAATTACAGTTTACTAAAACTCAAAACAATTCATGAATTTGAGTTTTATTCATAATTCAGAATTATTATTTGAGTTTTAACCCTTCCCGGACGGGCGAAATCTTGACATAGAACGGGAAAAAGTTATAGGAAAAAATAAAAATTAATTTTCCTTATTTGTTTTTGCTATACAAGTATACATAAAATAAACACAATGGAACACTTCATACTGTCAAAATATATTTTTACTCGTTTTAAACTATGCGGATATATCCGTTACCCGCCTGCGGATGAGTAGTCCTAGAAAAGCAGTGGATATACCCGCCACCCGTCTTTGAAGATATGACCATGACAACGTTGGGCAATAAATAAAGAACAATATGTAAACAATAAATAAAGACAACGTAGTGTTGAGCGTGAAACGTCGAGGGGGGAGCGTAGGAGAGGTGGGTGGTGCATGGGAGAGGGGGAGGCGTGTGAGAGATGTAGGCGCAGGAGAGAGGGGGGAGTGAGGGAGAGAGTGCAGCCATGGAGAGAGCAGGAAAGTGGCGCCTTGGTACGGCGAAACATCTGGTTTGCTCAAGCATCTGCCAGTCTGTCTAAAGAGAAGGCGAATACATTCGCTTCCCGTTCGGAGCATCAAAAACCATAATTGGATATATCCGTCACCCGTCCTTTATTGCCAAAGACTTAGGCGGATATATCCGTCACCCGTCCGTGAAGGGTCAATAAACTGTAATTGTTATTTTACACAGCGTTGTTTTATTTATTACTCCACACCCGCAAAACAAACATTGTATAGATTTTACACATTATTTATTTTTTATGTTACCTCCATTAGAAAAGTAGAATGGTTTGCACAACTTATGATTACAAAAAATGCTATTAAGGAACCATTCAACGCAAAAATCATCTCTTTAGCCCATGAAATAGCAGAGCTGTCACAAAGCGAAATTTTAGCGGTTATTATGGACCACCTGATATAAATGTAGCCTACTTCGGGTCAGGCTCAAAATAAACAATATCCTGTATTAAGTATTTACAAAAGATCATTTTTTGAGTCTAATGCTATTCTCGAATCTGACAGAATTACAGTTTTATCAAGCTGGTTGTTTGAGTCTAATGTTATTCTCGAATGTGACAGAATTACGGTTTTATCAAGCTGGTTGTTTGAGTCTATTGTTATTCTCGAATGTGACAGAATCACGGTTTTATCAAGCTGGTTGTTTGAGTCTAATGTTATTCTCGAATGTGACAGAATCACGGTTTTATCAAGCTGGTTGTTTGAGTCTAATGTTATTCTCGAATGTGACAGAATCACGGTTTTATAAAGCTGATTGTATGAGTCTATTGTTATTCTCGAATGTGACAGAATCACGGTTTTATAAAGCTGATTGAGTCTAAATTGTTACTCTCCAATGTGACAGAATCACGGTTTTATAAAGCTGATTGTATGAGTCTAATGTTATTCTCGAATGTGACAGAATCACGGTTTTATAAAGCTGATTGTATGAGTCTAATGTTATTCTCCAAATTTCAGGAGAGAGACCCTATACTTGCGACTATCCAGGATGTACAAAGGCTTTCACCCAGAGCGGACAGCTTAAAACACATCAGAGGCTACACACTGGCGAGAAGCCTTTTATGTGTTCATACACAGGGTGAGTCAAAAAACTAATAAGTAGGCCTTAAGAGGGAAAATAATTGTTTCTAGTAATTAGTGTGTAATCAAAAACAAAGTTGTAATTTTGTAAAATTCTCCATTTGAGTAGAAACTTCAAGTTCAAAAGAATTAAGGACAATGTTTTGTGATCAATTAAATGAAAATCCAAGCTGAAAATCTACAAAAAAATGCATAAACCTTTACTTTTTCTTGTAACAAACGTAACTAAATCACAATCGTTGATCACAGTGACTATTCTAGACCTGAATTCAAGCCGGTTCATGACGTAAATATTCTAGACAGGAGAAGTATGTGGTGTATAAAAATATGTCGACCTTCATACGAAGCGGTGCTTTTTGTTCTCGTGAAGCCTGATGACGGTTCCACTAGAGCTGAAACTAGTTGCAATCACTTAAACCATTTAACAGTCTACATCTTGATTTCATGATGGGTTAGCCTCTGGATCGAAAATTGCAATATAAAATCAAAATGGTTTAGGTTACCTTTTGCGTCGAACGATCCTTGATGTAGTAAGTGATAACTACAGCTGTTTCATGCCGCTGGGGCACATCTTCAGGTTGTAGAGCGTCAAGATAAAATAGCTGTCATCCGTGGATGATTTTGTCAAAATAAATATTACACAGAAAACACAAATAAGAAAACATTTAAATACACGAATTTAACAAACTTGGCCAAGTGACAAACTGACAAACACGCAAGACAGGCGCCGGTGAATGTTGTGTCATGACTGCGGGCGTGTGTCCAAGCATCAGCTGTTACCCCTTCCCCCCTGCTCCTTTATCAGGACCTGTTTTGTTTTGGTCTAGTTGAATGGCAGTATTGTAAATAATGTTTGATCTGAATGAAGTTCCATCCCAGAACCCAGAAACAAAAAATACGTCTCCGCTGAATTTGGAGTAGTACTCAATAACACCTTGAGAAAAGAAATGTCAAGGAACGATGTACAAGTTGCATACAAAACATCCAACAAATTATCTTCCATGCTCAGAGAAAGGAAAAAAACTCCTTCTGATAAAGTGAATAACACCGGCATTTACAAACTCAAATGCAACGATTGCCCGAGTTTCTACATCGGCCAAACTGCTCGCTCGTTCGCTACTAGATTTAAAGAACATCTACCCAAAAAGAACTCTAAATCAGCATTTGCCAACCACATTATTAACTCAAACCACAACTACACAGATATACATAGTAATTTGGAAATTAGGCATTTATGCAATAAAGGCAGATATTTGGACACAATAGAGGAATTCGAAATTAACAAGGCATCCAAAGAACACCCTGACCATCTATTAAACGAACAAACTTCATTCAGATCAAACATTATTTACAATACTGCCATTCAACTAGACCAAAACAAAACAGGTCCTGATAAAGGAGCAGGGGGGAAGGGGTAACAGCTGATGCTTGGACACACGCCCGCAGTCATGACGCAACATTCACCGGCGCCTGTCTTGCGTGTTTGTCAGTTTGTCACTTGGCCAAGTTTGTTAAATTCGTGTATTTAAATGTTTTCTTATTTGTGTTTTCTGTGTAATATTTATTTCGACAAAATCATCCACGGATGACAGCTATTTTATCTTGACGCTCTACAACCTGAAGATGTGCCCCAGCGGCATGAAACAGCTGTAGTTATCACTTACTACATCAAGGATCGTTCGACGCAAAAGGTAACCTAAACCATTTTATATTACATCTTGATGTTCTGGGGGTTATTTAAGTTACCTTCTTAATGAAACATTTGTCAAATCAATCAAGTAGTAAAATCTTGTCCAATTGCTATAACTAAATCAACAATAAACTAAATGAAATAAAATGAAGTAAGCACAACCATATTGTTTTGAACGCGTAAGTGTTTACAGCCTACAAGTGATTTAAATCAATAAATAAGAAATTCTGTTTTTCCACTTGCAAGAAAGTGGTACCGGTAATGAAAAAAGAAATTACTCTATAGCAAAAATGTTTTGTTTGGTTGGTGTCGTAGATGTGGAATGCGGTTCACCCATGCAAACCGCAGGTGCCAAGATCACCCGTTCTTGCCGTTGTCTCGGTGTGACTCGTCTGCTGCAGTGCTGCGCCCAGTGGAAACTAACCCATACCAATCTGAAGCCGTTATGGAGTGGCTTGAAAGGTAAATTTGGCTTGACAGATTTAGTTGGATAGGTTTTAGCGAATTTCCCTATTGGGAAGTAGCTATTATCGTAGGTGGCACAGTAAGACTTAGGCCTGGAACCGATTTACTTTTTCATTTTGATGTTCCCAGAGGCCAAAAACACCATTCTTTCAAATTTTTATATATGTATATGTATATATATATATATATATAAATAGAGTTATATGTGTCCGTGAACGCGTTAACTCAAGTAATTTTTTTCCGATTTTGATGAAATTTGGTTTAAAGGTGTAAGGCAAGACAGGCACGGCCCTAGGGACTTTGCCGCCCTGGGCGAGATCGGCGACTGCCGCCCCCGGGGGGTCTGGGAGTTATGGAGTACCCCCCAGTAAGTAAGGGGGGTCCGGGGGTAGAGGGTCCTCCCCCGGAAAATTGTAGAAAAATAACTTCTCTAAACACTATTTTTAAGCGTTTAGGAAGTGAAATCTGGTGTTAATACTTAATACAATTTTATGCAATTTTTTAACACTTTAACACTGAATATTTTGATTAATATGTTAACGGGACTTGGCCTCTTAAAAAAAAAATATTTCAAAGGCGAGTAATAAAATCACTTAACTTTGTTGTTCCATTGCTACACCAGCTAACGCCATCAAATCTTTCTTTTCGGGGCGAAAAACCCGATCAGTTTACTTTGTTTCGACATAAAATAACACTCATGAGACACCACGGAATACGAAAATCATAAAAACACACTGGCACAATAATTAACACCAGACGACAGATCAAGTGTAGTGTGGGTGACGGGGTAGAGGAGGAGGGTGTCGATGGGCGGTTGAACGCGGAACGTACGGCGACTCACGTCTGTTTGGCGCGCAAATATCCAACCCCACCACTGCTACCGGCTACCGGCATGTAGTTCATCTGTTACCATTTATTCATCGATAATTAAAGTATACGTACAAACAAACAAGCATAGTACAATTAGCATGACATTTGATTAACTATTTTATTGCTCACGTTAAAACGATTAATTTCAGGTAGGTGTAAAAGGTGAAGTGGTGGTGGTAGGGGGAGGGGCGGATAGGCTAAGGCTGTTGACCTTCCGTGACTTGTGTCTGTACTCTGTTTTGCGCGCAAAAACCATACTACTTTCACTGGCATTGCAGTTTATTTACGATTTATTGATATTGAAAGTATACTTTCGAAAAAACAAGCTTAATACAATAATAGAAGTAAAATTAAAAAGGTTCACTATTTCATTGCATACGTTAAAACATTATTTTTTAAATGTTATTACAATTTTTTTACCCATTATAGGTTGAAGGGGGGGATATATCCCCCTGATCCCCCCCCTCGTATCTACGCCACTGTCCCGCCTAATTGTTTACTCCTGGGCTCCACCCCTTCCTTGAGCGATCGCCGAATTATGGTGTCTCCCTGAACTCCGACTTAATTATGTACTAAGGGTTCTAAGTGTAAATTGCACATTTTAAAATTATTTTCATTTCATAAGATGATTTATGTTTACAGTTGCAGATATCAATTATTTTTTGGTTTTTGTTTAAAATCTGACCTAAGAGTCGGCAGGACTTTCGGCCATCTTTGATTTCCCCCAAAACGGCAATGTTGTTACTGTAATTGTTGAAGCAAATTACGACATTGTTTATTAAGATAAAAAGTTGCAAAATATCTCATTTTTGCAACTCCTCTCTCTCGGACGGAAGGGAAGCCCATGCTACCAAAATAATCAATAATAAAGTAAACACAACGTCATGGGAGGGGGCAGAGAGAGAGAGAGAGGAATACGTCGAGGACAATCCCAACCGCTGCAATGTTACTTTGACGCTGTCACTCGTCCTGGGTAACGTCGTAACGTGGTGGCGACGGTTGTTCGATACACAAGCCACGAGTGGTTGGTTTTTATATTTGGGCTTAAATTTTAATTTTAAATCGATGTTTGAATTGCCGTTTATCTTCTTAGGCTTGTTCTTTGCGTAAAATGTAATATAGATAATTGTACTCTTCACATTCACATAATGAATTTATTATTTTTTTCGTATTAAAAATTTACTGTTCCCTAAAATTTGTTTGTTGCGCTGGCTTTGCCACCCCAGCGCCGCCGCCCCGGCCCCGCCGCCCTGGGCGACCGCCCGGTCCGCCCACCCCTGGGGCCGGCCCTGAGGCAAGATAAACTTGAATGAGTTTGCAAACCAGCATGATCGGATCATGGAAACGGGGTTTTATGGGGTAAAAATTGGTTTTTCTTATTTTTGACCCGCAAAACACAACATTTCTCAATTTCTCTTTAGACCTTTTTAAAGAGCTTAAAACACAAATAATTTAATAGCTTATATCAAAGTGTTTTTGTATAATTATTGGTAACGGAGAAATTAAAAAAATTTAACTTTTAAAATTCACATGTTATTCTTATGGATAATATTGTAAAATGTTGTAGTTTACTTGTTTATGGATATATTTTTTTATCAAACTTGGCAAATTTATTTATTTTATTATAATCTATTAATATTTTACTAAAAACTACACTTTATTTGTTTCCTGGTAGCAGCAAACCTAGGTACCGATACTCGTTAAACCTAATGTTATTTAAATAGATTTAATTGAAAATATTTCAGACAAATGAAAATTCGCTTAGTCGGCAGGTTTGCTGCGGCTGGGGTATTTATTACGGCATAGTTATAATTTTAAATTAATGACATCTTTCTTTTGTACGTTAATAGCCACTATTTATTTCGGTGTAGAATTCAAATATGAGATTAGTGAAATGTTAGTTTAAAGTTTCAAAATCTGTGGGTTCAAAAAGGAAAGGGTTCAGTCCTTACAGGTTCAGAGGTTAATTTTATTCTTGTATCCCTATGTTAGTTTTGTCACAGTTGTAAAATATCACTAAAATCTAATTTAAATATCAAGACTAAAAGAGACTAGAAAATACTTTTCTAAAAAGAAACTAACTAGAAAAAGAAAAAAACTAAAATCTAAAAATGTCTTTTGGACAACTCCTTTTATTCTCTTAAATTTTTTTTATATGCTTTTTATTTATTTTTAAATAAAGTAAACAAATAGGAAAAAGATACTGTTAGATTACGTTACTGTAGTTATAAATAGTATTCACTTTCACTATTCTGTGTAAATTCCACATTTCAACAATTTTATTGCCAATATTTCATGTTGACTATGTCAGTCTCTGACTGTATTTTATGACTTTGTCAATGCTAACTGTTTTAATACAATAAAAAAAAGATTAAATACCCCCCGCCGCAGCAAACCTGCAGACTAAGTGAATTTCCATTTACCTGGCTGGATTTTTACTAAAATATTCCCTAAAAATTGTCAGATTTATTTCCTATTTAAAAATAACATTAATTTTAGTAAGTACTTAGGATTGCTGCTATGGAGAAGATATTGATGTGTGTTTTTTTATTGAAATGTTGATAGGATAGTAGGAAATAAACAAAATTGCCAAATTTGATTAAAATATATCCTTAAACAAGCAAACTATAGCAGTTTATTTATTCTCTATAAGAATAACATGGGAATTTTTAATTTACAATTTTTTGTAAATTATCTCCGTAACTGTTGGGCATACAACAACGCTTCAATATACAAAATTATTTCTTTTTTTGAGCTCTATAAAATGGTCTGGAGAGAAATTGTGAAATTTTATGTTTTTAGAGTCAAAAATGTATTTTTACCTCATAAAACCCTGATCCAATAGGCCGATCATGCTGGTTTGCGAACTCAACGTAGGTTTACACGTTTGTACCAAATTTCATTAAAATCGGATCATTTTTGCTCGAGTTATCACCTGAACGGACACACATAGGCTATATTTTATATATAATATGAATTTGAACGGATGGTGTTTTTGGCCTCTGGGGACCTCAAGACGAAAAAGTAAATCGGGCCTGGGTCTAGGTCTTACCATGAGACCTACGGTAATAGCTTATTCCCTATATGGGAAATTCACTAAAAAGAGTGAAAGCTAGAGATTTCTATCTTAAACTCATTACAACATGCTATTTCAATTTTAAATAAATTCCTAACAGGTTTGTTTAGGCTAAGTGTAGATACATTCTTTAAAATTCTCTATGGGTATTACTAGTGCACCATAACCTAGTGCACCATGCCAGGACATACGGTTCTATTTTGCAACATTTCCAACTGCTCCACAACAGGGTATTTTAATGGCAACTTCTAATAAAAATCTTGATTGAGTAGGTCTATGAGGAAATACACCCGCCGCAGCAAACCCGCCGACAGCGCCTCAAAGCCCAACAACTTTATGCTGTTTTATAATTAAATCTCTGTAATGTTTGACACCTATTCTGCACTCTTATGTTCAAGAATAAAATATTCTGATTCTGATTCTAAGCAAATTTCCATTTGTCTGAATTGATTTTCAATTAAATCGATTTAAATAACATTAGGTTTAACAAGTACCTAGGTTTGCTGCTGGAAGGAAACTAATAAAGTGTGGTTTTTAGTAAAATATTAATAGCTTAGTATAAAATAAATAAATTTGCCAAGTTTGATTAAAATATATCCATAAACAAGCAAACTACAACATTTTACAATATTCTCCATTAGAATAACATGGGCTTTTAAATAAATTTTTTTTTTAATTTTATCAGTTACCAGTAATTGTACAAAAACAATTTGATATATTAAATTATTTTTTTCCCGCTCTTTAAAAAGGTCTATAGAGAAATTGGGAAATGTTGTGTTTTGAGGGTAAAAAATGAGAAACCCCAATTTTCACCCCATAAAACCCCGTTCCTATGGTCCGGTCATGCTGGTGCGCAAACTAATTCAAGGTTATCCTGCCTTACACCTTTAAACCTAATTTCATCAAAATCGAATAAAAATTACTCGAATTATCGTGTTCACAGACACATATAATTCTGTATATAGCCTTTAATTATATACATATATCAAAATTTGAACGAATGGTGTTTTTGGCCTCTGGGGACATCAAAATGAAAAAGGAAATCGGTCCCAGGCCTAGGTCTTACTGTGCCACCTACGGTAATAGCTACTTCCCTATAGGGAAATTTGCTAAAAAAACAAATCCCATTTTTGCTGACTCTTCATCAACCCTTTTGTATAAAAATGGTGAAAGGTGTGAAGCAGGTGTATGTGTAACTATTATTGTTACGTTATTTTCTCTTTGCCATGTTGTTTAAGATGACGAATTTCACTAAGTGTTTCCTCTATTTATTTAATAAATTTGAAGTGTGTTGAACTATTTCTTAGAGTAGAGTGTCGATTATCCAAAGCCTGAAAAATCAGTTAACAGAAAGGAAAAAACAAAAACTCTAACCTAAATCGTGCATCAATAAAATCAAATCCTTTATTGTTGTGAGGTGTAACAATTATGCAATAGTCATGATCAATATATATACATAAACCAACTTATGTAGGACTCAAATTCTTAAAGTATTTACCTGATTACATTAAATACCCCTGCCTCAGCAAACCTGCAGACTAAGGGATTTTTCATTTTATTTGATTGAATTTAAACTAAAATATTGCCTTTAATATGTCAGATTTATTCCCTATTTAAATAAATTAAATTTTATTGAATAACTTACTAGGTTCACTGCTACAGAGAGGGTAATAAAGTGTGTTATTATTGAAATGTTAATAGCTTAGTATGAAATAAACAAATATGCGACATTTTATCAAAACATGTCCGTAAGCAAGAAAACTACAGCGGTTTACTTTATCTCCATAAAAATAACGTGGGAATTAAATTTTTTTTTTTATTTTCTCTGTAACCATTAGGCGTATAACAACGCTTCAATATAGGCTGCTAAATTATTTGTTTTTTAGCTTTACAAAATAGTCTAGAAAGAAAATTGCAATATTATATGTTTTGGGAGTAAAAAAATGGGAAAAATTAATTTTTACCCCATAAAATCCAGTTTCCATACGAGGGATATATAGTTATAGTGAGGGGGGTACGAGGGGGGTATAGTGAGGGGGGGATATAGTTTTGTTTGATCATGCTCATCAGCAACAATTTTTTAATAAATGTAGGTTTTAAGGTTTGTACCAAATTTAATCAAAATCAGATGATTTTTACTAGAGTTACCGTGCTAGCGGACACACACAGTTTTATATATATATATATACACACAAAACCTTTACCGTAGGACCTGGCACCCCGGACCGATTTACTTTTTTGTTTTGATGTCCCCAGAGGCCAAAAACACCTTCTGTTCAAATTCATATAGGCTTACATTTTTGTGACGGTTAGCTCTATAACTCGAGCAAAAATTGTCCGATTTTGATTAATTTGGTACAAACGTGTAAACCTACGTCTATTGAACGAGTTCGCGAACCATGATCGGACTATGGGAACAGGATTTTATGGGGTAAAAATCAGTATTTCTCATTTTTAATCCTCAAAATATAAAATTTTCACATTTCTCTTGAAGCCATTTTGTAGAGCTTAAAAAACAAACAATTTAGTACCTTGGAGTGTTTTTGTAGGACTATTGGTTACGGAGAAAATTTCAAAAATTTTAAATATCAAGTCCCATGTTATTCTTATGGAGAGTAAGTAAACTGTTGTAGTTTGCTTGTTTATGGATACATTTTGATCAAATTTGGCAAATTTATATATTTTATACTAAGTTATTAACATTTTACTAGTAAACATACTTCATTACCTCCCAGAGCAGCAAACCTAAGCACTCTTTAAAAATAATGTTATTTAAATAGAAAATATATTGACATGTCTAAGAAAATATTTAAGTGAAAATCCAATCAGGCAAATGGAAATTCACTTAGTCTGCAGGTTTGCTGCGACAGGGTGTTTTTGTTAGCCAATGGTTGGAATTTAAAGATTATTTCAGTTCAAAGAAATCATTTTTGTGTTTTTTATTACTATTATCTTATAATCGGCTTTATACACAAATTTCTAACAATTAAATTAATTGACAATTGTTTTTTTAACTTTGTCCCTATCATGGTATGAGATTTGTGTCATTGTCTAACCAAGCCTGGCAAAGTAATTGTGCAATGGCAAACAATTCCAGTTTTAATTTTCCAATTGAATTGAATATTTCACTATGATTTTGGTTTAAAAATGTGCGGTTAAAGGGGGTTTGTTTGAGCAGCAAATTATTGTAAGTAAACTATTTTTGAGCTATTTGAAGTATTATATTCAACTTAACTTGACTCTTTACATCCAATTTACTGGCAGAACATCTAAAAAGGCATATAAGAACAAATTAGGTTTGTAGGCATATAAGAACAAGTACGTATTTGTAAGTATATTTATTAACAATTAAAATATTTATTGGAAATAGTCAAATAAATTTTGGTCGGCAGGTACAAAAAAGAGAAAAAAGAACAACAACCAGTCAAGCCATTGGACTCTTGTAAGAGGAGGGCTGACGAAGTGGAAAACAACGTCCATTGTTATCCCAAAAAGAAGAAATTGACAAAGAACACCGTTAAGAAACAAGAAATTTATAAATCTCCTGAGAAAGTTCCAGAAACGGATTTTCAGTGGACGAACTGGGCGTTTAATGTGATGACCCCTGAGTCACCCAAGAAGAAAGAGGCGAGGTTGGAGTTACCTAAGAAACGGTGGCTAAGAGAAGCGACCATGGAACAAAACATGGATAACTGTCGCAGCCTGAACCAGAGTCGTCCTACTGTGTTGGTGAGAGCCGGAGCCGACTCGCGACCTGTGTCCCCTCCATGGACCCCTTCGACCCCAAACCCTTACCTGGGACCCTCACACACAAGCACACCCCTTAATCTCATCACCCCTGTCTCTATCTGTACTCCTGATATGACACACCAACTACTATCTCCCAGAGAAAGTGAACTCTCTCCGTCCAAGATCCACAAGGAAGAGGAACTAGCCGTTCCTCTTCCATCAGAAGATGATATGAGTTTTACCCTTCCTCTAAACTTATCTCAGTATTCTGGGTCATCCTTATTCGAATAGTTTCAAGTCTCTCTAGTCTCAATGATTCCTTCACTGTCCTATCTCTTTGATTCATATTTTGTAAATAACTTTTCAGGGTTTTAACAAAGTATTTTAATGAACAACAGCACTATTGTTTAAGCAGAACAAGTTCTCTTCCATTTGTGTAATGGAAATAAAATAACAATACTACTACCTTTTTCAAGTTGGTTATTGGCATGGTTATTGGAACCATGCAAATAAGTTTGATATTTTTTCCTACCACTGCATGGAAATGATCACATTGCCAAATCTGTAAACAGTGCGTAAAATTGTTCATCTTTGCTCGCTAAATCAGCTGATTTCACTGTTGGCGATTCTATAAAACAGTAACATCCGGCAAGCAAATAACACGGCCTAAAAAAGCAAACATAACCTAAATGACATTTTATATACAACTAAAAAGTTAGTCTGTTAAAAGTTAGATAAGTTAATTACGGTGGTAGGAAAAATCTTGTGTGAATTAATAGCACAAACAGTCATTGCCGCTCTCGAAATTTATGGCCGCCATCTACATTTCTCGAGCGGCAATGACGTACTTTGCGCTCTTATTTCACAAATAGCTAGATTTACATTTTCCTTGTGTGTTCTCCGTGCTACTCTCAGCTTGGCAAAAGAGTGAATGTTTAAGGCTTAGAAAAAAGAAACAATCAGAGGACGCTTGTTTGGGGCATTAGATCGCACATCTAGGAGTTTAAATGTGGATCACTAAGTAGCACAACATCTAAGAATACTAATTGGATAAGATGAGTGAGAAGAAGAGTGCTATGATGCTGCAATCTCAGCTAGTAAACTTGACAACACCTGTTAGTTAACTCATCAGTTTACCATTGTCAAAGTCCTCCAATTGGTCCTAATCTGTGTCAAGGTTAGTTCTATAATTGAAATGTATGTATTATTATTTTAATATTTTTGTATGGTTTAATTTTAATTTGCACTGTTGATGGACATAAATTAAATTTATGCCCCATCTGATTTTAATAATGCTAGTGATGTACTACAGAGTCTAACTCCCTTCGTTGTTTAATATAGTTTCATTTTATCGTATTGCTCAGAACGACTTTTGAACTAATATACAAAGTTTACAGTAACTTACTTGTTCTCCCCAAAGTGACCTCCTCCATTGAGTATGGTTATGTTTTTTCTACTATCAACCAGGTGTGCTGTAACCTTTATGTAATAGTTTATTATTATATTTAGTTCAAAATAAAAATTGTAACTTTTTATAATGAGTGTATTTAATTGCTGTTTTATAAACAGAGTGTCACACTCAAATAGGTAATGTTAGTTGAATCCCAATACAGTATGTTTATTTTAATACGATTTTAAACTGCCTTCATGTTAAGTTAACATTGATACCTGCAAATGATGAATGTTTTCCTCTACAAATAGGTGAAATGCCATGATTATAACATCACAAAATACGACTTAATACCTATTTATTCTAAACTACATAATGTAACAGTTAATAGTATTAGTCAAGAACGAGTGCGTAGTCAATTTTAGGTAAATATGTCAGCTGATAGTTATAGATAGTTTTTAAAAAGTGTAAAATAATATGTTTTTAACTGTAAATAATTTAAAGGGACTATTTTTGTATTCACATAACAAATTTTAATGCTTAGCAATAAAAGTGTTCAACACAAAGTTTAAAAAAATAATGGTAGGAGAACGACATATGCTTTGTTCTGAAAAGTGGAGTTAGTTTTAACTGGGACTGGTCGCAGAGGTGGAAAGTATGGACAGTTCTCTATATTTCACATCGAGTTGTGTTAACCAAATATTTAGCTAGTCTCGCCTTGTGTATTATTTAAGCTTTCTTCCCTATAGCTTTTCTAATAATGTTGTCTGTTTTTCACATTTTGTAAAGAAAATTATAAAAGAAATATTTTAACAGCTGTTGTTCCTTTTACCTTTCCTTCCCTTCTAATTAAGTTTATTTTAAAATTTGTTCATTATGACTTATATAAAAAATATAAACAAAATATATAATACATAAATATAAAAATGAAGCAATTAATCAAATCAAATCAAATAATTCTTTATTTGAAGTTTCATTAAGAAAATACAAAGGCGTCATCCAATAATATAACTTAAAACTAGTACAAGAATTTTATGGCTTGGCTTAGTACATAGTGGCGTCCCCATCTTAAATAATTGATAATTGATAATACATAGATGGACTGTGAAATTGCAAAATACCCTAAGCGAATTGGATTTCCATTTACCTGGCTGGATTTCTACTAAAATATACCCTGAAAATTGTCAGATTTATTTCCTATTAAAATAGCATTAATTTTAATGAGTACCTAGGTTTGGTGCTACAGGGAAGGTATTGAGGTGTGTTTTTTATTGAAATGTTGATAGCTTAGTATGAAATAAACAAAATTGCCAAATTTGGTTAAAATATATCCATAAACAAGCAAACTACAACAGTTTATTTATTCTCCATAAGAATAACATGGGAATTTTAAATTTAAAGTTTTTTTAATTATCTCCGTAACCGTTAGGCATACAACAACGCTTCAATATACAAAATTATTTCTTTTTTTTTTTAGCTCTGCAAAATGGTCTGGAAAACTTGATCGATAGCAGTTATGAAGTTCTGCATGTCATGGATTCTGAGTAAGATTGCTGGGGTAGTGTTTGAGAAGGATCTTAGGTTTCTACTGATGTGCTTTTAGTTTGAGTATGAGCATCTTTTACTTCCTTGCATTCATTTAGGGCTTGTTCAATATTGTTAATATTTTGAAGTGTAATAAAAAACAGTGAACATTTATTGGTCTAAAAGATAATGGATTTTTGAAATCCAACATGATTTTTATGAAATCTTGACAGTAAATAATGAGATATGGTTAATAATGTTGAGTAAATTTTACAATTTTTTCATTTTTGGGGGAATTAGTCTGTGTTGTTGAGCATGAATTCCTCTGTTTCTAGTGTTGTATTTGTGATCTACGAAGTGAGGTTGAATGTGTTGTGATTTTATGTAAACTACTGCTTCATAAATGAAGATGCAAGGGACAGTCAAGAGCAGTGGCGGCTAAAGGGGGGGGGCTTAGCCCCCCCAGATATGAGGATTCACATTTTTTTTGGTTAAGTTAGAAAAATTAATTTTAAAAAATTAATAGGAACCTCAAAGTTTGATTTTTTTGTAAACAAAATTTATTATTTTTATAGGTTGTCTAGTAGTCGGGAATTAGTATTGAATTTCAAATCGGTCTTGAAAAGTCGGGATTTAGTGTTTATTTTGATATGAAAGTCGGGAATTTTCATGATTTTGCCGCGATCATCGCAGACAACGCCGATGACGTTTCCTTGGCTGCGGGAGTCAATGGTGATGTCTACACGGCCGCGGGAAATGATCATAATTTTGCCGCGATCGCGAACGGCAACGATGACGTCCGAGGCAGTTAATGATGATGTCTACTTGGTCGTGGAAGATTTTCATCATCCAAAAAATCCTACGTTATGATTCAATGATTAAGCAAAGCAATAGGCTAAGTCACTTACAATACAAAGTAAATAATAAATAGTCCATCTCTTGATTCACAAATAAATGCAAGTTAGATAAATATAATAATAAGGAAACAAACAAAACCATGCAAAACAAAACTGAAGCAAAACCATGCAAGAAAATATAGCCATGCAAGGCAGTGCATGAGCATTACCTATAACAAAACTGGTAGTCCTACTTTAAAAAATTCAGACAGGTCATAAAAAGGGTTTTCTATCAACCAGTCCTTCATTACTGCCTTAGTGCCTTGAACCTTGAAATAGGCAAGTCCCTTATGGCTACTGGTAGATGGTTGAAAAATCTGTAACCTGAAACAGGGAAGCATTTAATTGTTCTGCTCAGCCTGTGTCTATGCGCAAAAACATTTAAACAATTTCTTGTGGCATAGTTATGTACTTGGTTGTTTCTCAAAAGGTGCACTTCATTTGCCTTCATTTCTAAAAGACATTGAAAGATATATACATTGTATACAGTCATGATGCGGTTTTGTTGGAACAGAGGAAGGCAGTGTTCCAGGTACTGGGCTCCACTCAGCACCCTGACAGCCTCCTTTTGCAACACTAGAATTTTACTTACACCAGAAGAATGGTCTCAGAGCCTGGTACCGTAAATAATGATGGAGTGGAAAAAAGCAAAATAAGAGGCTCGAATGAATTCCCCAGACAAGTCAGTAATTAGTCTTCTGAGCAGGAATATGACCCTGCTCAGCCTACTGCACACTGACTCTATGTGGTCTCCCCAGGTGAGGTGTGGGTCCAGAGTGAAGCCCAATAACCAAACAGGGTTGTGTCATCAGCATAAAATATGGCTCTACCAGACACATGGTAGTACAAGTCATTAATAGACACGGAACAGAAATGGACCCAGAATGGAGCCTTGAGGTACACCATGATTCACAGACAGAAGAGAGGAGTTTCTACCTCTCCAAGATACTACCTGTTGTCTATTGCTAAGATAGGATCGGAGCACCTTGAGTGCATCGCCGCGTATGCCATATCTTTCCAGCTTCAGGATTGGGATATTGTGTGAAACGCAATCAAATACTCGTGAAAGGTCACAAAGCAAAACTGATGAGACATTTAATCTATTTCCAAGTGAGCTGAGCACAGTCTGGAGAAGGGAGTCTACTGCCGAGACAGTAGACCTACCCCCCTAAAACCAAACTGAGCTGGCACAAGCAGGCGATGGTCCTCAAAGTACTCGTACAACTGTTCTAGCATAACAGCTTCAAACACTTTGGCAAATATGGGGATGATAGCAATAGGCCTATAACTACTGACATTGTCATGGGCTCCTTTCTTAAACACTGGGACTACCCTGGATATGGTTAGGCTATCCTGGTTTAGGCTACAATTAATTCATTGTTCCTTTCGCCTGTCTTTTGTCAGCACCAGCAGCATCATTGACAAGTCATTTTCATTGACGACACTTCATTCTCATATCTTTTTGTTTTCACTTCTCACTATATAAGTCATATATATTTCTTGCATTTGTATTGTCATATAGCTTAGCATGTCATTATTTTCACTTCTCGTAAAAATAGTGTATACCATGTATATAAATAAATGTGTATATATCCTTACCATAGTTCAGTACAATACAATTATCGTGTCCTACTACGGCCGCCTTTAACTCCAGGCCCCGGCCTTCGAAGTGGCAACGTCGCAAGTGGTGTTGTAACAGCTGTTTTGTTTGGAAGCAGCTAATGATATTTGTGTATTTACGAAAGATTGGTTACTGGACTATGACAATATTGACTCCGCTTAAAATGTACAGATAAAGATTTTTAATTCATATTAGTTTCGGTTTACAGTTCTGTATGTTTTATTTTCAATACCTATATTAATAAATTTATGCGTTCATAAATTTAAATCAATAAAGTGCGAATTAATGATCTGATGTCACCTGTCTGCCATGTTATCTTATGGGACGTCTGTCACTAAACAACACCACTTGCGACGTTGCCAATTCTACCAGGCCGCGGCCTAAAATATCGTATATTTGGTAGACCTGACTGAAGCGAGCGGCAGTTGCCATTCCCACAATGCAACATTCTCCTTGATTATAAGCTATGCCACAAAGTCAGAATTATAAGCTATGACTAAAAATCAGGATTATAAGCTATAGAACAAAATCGGAATCATAAGCTGCGCCACTATTTGACCATTAAAGGGTTGTGAAAACTAAAACGTTTCATACCTTATAACGTTTTAGAGAAATTGTGGCATAGCTTATAATTTTTCGTGAAAGTGTTGCATAGCTTATAACCGATTATAAGCTATACCACATTTTCAAGATTATAAGCTATGAAACAAATTCACGATTATAAGCTATGAAACAAATTCACGATTGTAAGCTATGACATTATAAGGTATGAGACCCCACGGTTCCGAAGCATGCCCCCCACGTCATGTTTAATATTATATGCCGTACAACAAAAAATTATTTAGACACCATGGGATTAGAAGCCATGGGGCATCATGACAAGGACACTATTACATACGACCGTTATGATATATTCCTCGCCATTTCTCCCGAATACTAATTTCTGTTGTTTTGGACTCTGGTGCATGCAGATGCAACGCAAAGCAATGATGTATTCGTATTTTGTAGTGCTTGTATTGACAGTTTTTGTAAATTCAGTTGTTTGTTCGACAGATGTCTTTTGTTTATAAATAATGAGAGAGATACCATTTTGGTATTTGGTAGTTCTGACTTTGTATTTGAATGAATGTTGAATTATCTCTTGTAGCTAAGTCGTAATACTCGTAGTTGAATTTCTTATTTTCGATTCTATTTTAATATAGACAAAGGAAGACTTATTAATTAACTTATTGTCCTCAAATTTTTTATCGGCGTGAAACTGGCAATAGATTAGCAATAACTCACTCCACTTCTCCTACTTCCCCTCCGACGAATATACGTCACAGTAAAACGTCATAACAATGATGGCGTCATAGCAGCATTCGTCATAGAGCCGACGACATAACCTCCAAAATATCAAGTGGCGGGAACTTTTTTTTGGCGGCACACGGCCAAGATGGCGTTCGGTTGTTCCCGCCAACCGTTGAGTATAGCAAGTGTCTTTAATATATGTAAACAACTGCATAAATGAATTAATGTTAAGGAGTTGTAAACAAAGTAAACGCCTAAAGCCTATCCTAGCACCATAGACTAACAATGACAAGAAGACTTCTCATCCCATTGTAAATTTTGAAGCTCGTTTTTCGTATCTAGTTCATGTACGTGACACGTGGGCGCTAGTGTCCACGAAACTTTGTTTCTATTATTTTAGGGTTAATTTCTTGATTTGTGCTATACTGTTTGGTTATATAACTTGGGTACAGGTTATTGTTTATGATTAGATCGTATTATTT